GAGTTCCTGAAGTCAGAGAACAGATCAGAGAGACTCTCTGAGATCCAGTGCTCAGCTCTGGCCCATATATTGCAGATGTCAGAGGAGGTTCTGGATGAGCTGGACCTAAAGAAGTACAACACATCATTGGAGGGACGACGCAGACTTATTCCAGTTGTGAGGAACTGCAGCAAAGCTCGGTGAGTCCAGATCTGATCATTAGCATTATTGATCAGTGCCAATTAGTAGTTTAGTTAGTCTCAGGTTTCATGTTTCACCTCTCAGAGGGGAAGTCCAGGTGCTTTTCTATCCAAGCGCCTTAGACAACTACAGATGAACTATGAAGTGAGCATTGAAAACTGCATTTCTCCATAAATTTTCTGCAAAGTCAAAACTTATTGATACTTTAGTCTTTAATAATTTAATTTCAGGGCCTCTTTAGTACCAGGTTTTAGTACTCAATTCTACTCAGAAAAATAATTAGAAGTTTGCATCTCCAGCCTCTACCAAACCAAAAATAAAAAATAAATTACTGCTAGAGTTGCAGTGCTGAAAACAAACATATTCCAAGATTTGGATCTTTTACACGCACTCTCCTTTAGAATCTTTGATCATCATCCACAAAGAGAACAAATGAGGGCCATAACGATCAATAGCACTGGCTAAAAGTTGATAAAAAAGTTGGAACAATAACACCTGTCCATTGTTGGCCTGTAGCCCATGGCCAGGTCTGACTGGGTTCAGTCTTGATCTTCCAGCAGCTACAGGTCCCAGTAAATTCCCTCTGTACTCTATCTGTAGGCTGATCAGCTCCAAGTTCACAACATTTCACCAATGCCAGGTTATGACTGTTATCATTGGCAGGCCAGTCATTTGAAATAGTAAATCAGCTATAACCCATTGTTTCCAGGTGGCTCATTTTTGAGGCATGGATGATAAAGCTAAATTTAAAAGGTATATATCTCCTGATCCATCCACCTGTTCCAATTATGCACTTACTCCTCGTTTCAATTAAATGAACACTTTTGGTGTCACAGCAGCACAGCTGACTATGTGGTTTGCATCCATGACAACACTTGTTAGATTTTCTCTGCCAATGCCAAACAGTTTACTCTGGTATTTACTTTTTCCGCTGTCATTTCCTGGATTGAATGTTTGAAGAAACAATTGGCCCATTTCGGGGAAATTTAAAGCTCATCAGCATGCAGAAGAACCAAACACAGCCACAACAGCCTGGCTCCACCTTATCCTGGTCACCAATTTGGTCACACACTACTGTGGCATAGCATTTGTTACAAGTCAGCCAATGTGGTTGTGTTGGTTACTGGCATGGACAGCACACCCAAGCTGATTCCACATGTGTTCGATGAGGTTAAGGTTAGGACTGTGGACAGGTCTTCCTCTCCACTCCCAAATGTAGTCGCTGATAAACCCCACTCTGTGCGTGCAAGTGTTGTCATCTGGAGGATAGAGTCCAGGCCCAGACTGTGGAGATATGGGATTGCCACTGGTTACAGTATCTCAGTATCTCTCTGCATTGAGATTTCCTCCAATAATGCAAAGCCTTATTTTTCCAGTGAGTAAGATTCTGCCCCACACCATCACACTGCTTCCACCGAAAGCTGTTACCCGATTGGTGCAGCAGTCAGCATAGTTTCTCCTTAATCAAATCATTTAAATATGGTATACTTGGAGCAGACATCAACTGACCACCGTAGCAGGGTTCATGCTCACAGGCATGAATCAAGAACCTGATTAGCAGCACCTGGGCTACTAGAAGCTCAAAAGAAGAGTCAATAACAGAATAAGCTGTTTGGCACTAGCATAGAAGATTTGGGAAGATTTTTTCATGGTTGCAACCGACATACTCAAATCTGCTGCTCAACCCACAAATGGATTTTCCTTCATTTCCTTAGAAATGGGCCACATTTAGGGGAAGATAATGAGGATTTTCATGGTATAAGATGCCAAGAAGCATTGTTATAGCAAAGGAATATTCTACCAACCCAAATTTTCTTTTCTTTTGTGCTAAGTTTATATCCTATATGTTACTTTTTCTTTAGTCTGACATTTGTAATAAAGTGCTATTTTGTATTTTATCAGAATTTTAGAGCTCAGTCGTCAAATTGTTCACACACAATCACAGATGAGATGTTTGCATATTATGATGTTACCCTCTTTTACCTTCATATACATTCAGTCTGTGTTTATAATGGAGAGTTACTGCTTTTATACTAACACATTTTATATTTTCTCAAATTGAAGACTGAATTCTTGTGGTCTCTCAGAGACTCACTGTGAAGTTGTGGCCTCCGCTCTCAAGTCAAACCCCTTCCATCTGATAGAGCTGGACATGAGTTACAATGACCTGCCGTGTCCAGGAGTGAAGCTTCTGTGTGCTGGTCTGGGGAGTCCAAACTGTCGACTGGAGACTCTGAGGTGAGTTCACTGACTGCAGCTGCTGTTCTTCTATAGTTCAGATATTTGGTGTAAAGTTTGAAACTTATTTCTGTTCATATATGTTCAGGATGTGTCTGCTTTGGAAATCTTTCCTTACCAAAAGTAACTACGACCTGCAGAATCCAAAAGACCAAACAACAGTTTTTTTCTGTTGGCTCATTGTCAGACTGTAGCAGGATTCATTTAATTACTGAGAGTCTTTAAAATCAGGTTTCTAAATCATCCTCACACACAGCTTGAACCTCAGACTAAGGTATGGATTAGGATTGAGCCTGCAGTATAGATAGCTTTAGTAAATGCTATTGTGTGGAAAAATATGTGATGATAATGTTACAGATACTTGAAAGAATAACATCACTAATTAGATTTTAATTTACATGATTTATTCTTTCAAATTTACCCAAACTGCTTTGGTTGTTACATTTGAGACAAAGGGAAAAACATTCAGATAAATGTAATATTTATGATTTTAGTGCTCTGCACTGACAAAGATGAAGTCATATATTGCAGTTGCTTGAGGTGTGGTTAGTGTCTGACCTGCATGGTGTTTGAGAAAATCAAATTGATGAGAACATATCTTAATAGCTAATCAATGATTTACTAGTGTGTGTGTGTGTGTGTGTGTTTTTCTCTTCACTCAGACTGAAGGACTGCTGGTTGTCAGAGATCAGCTGTGCTACTCTGCTGTCAGCTCTGATGTGCAACCCCTCCCATCTGAAGCATCTGGATCTGAGTGACAATATCAGCCTGCAGGATTCAGGAGTGAAGCTGCTGTGTGCTTTTCTGGAGAGTCCACACTGTCAACTGGAAACTCTGAGGTCAGACACCAATTTTTAGTTGGGTGCTAAGATGCATATGATTTGGAAGTTGTAGTGACACTAAACTGCAGATAT